GACGGTATTTAAAGCTAACTGGATTCATCCAGACAAATAATGCATATTCATATCGGAGGCAGACAAATGGTATCCGAAGCTGTGCATCAGAAACCAGAAGAAAATGGCACGGACGCAGTCGACGTACGGATAGATCTAATTGGTATCAGAGATGGTTCGGGGGATTTTTGGTGATTATTCACCAATTATCATGCTTTTAATATCTTGGACAACAAATATTCTCATCAAAGACCACTTTTATTCGTGTAACTTTGCAAATTAGAAATTTTTTTTAAACTAAATTTTTGCATGTTATTTTTTTTCTAAACTAAAAAAAAAATTTCTAAACCGCATTTTTACATAAAAGCATGTTATTTTCAATATGCGAGCTAAGAAAACAGTCCTCATTCTCCATGCAAAAACCTATCAAAACGCATAACTCAAACCTTTTTTGGAATTTCAACCGCTGATTTGCCTCCCTCCACATCTTTGTTCGTTTCTGTCGTTTTATTCAAGTTCTCATTAGCTTCCAACCCCGACTGCTGTTCCGCTGCTCGCTTCTTCGCTTTTTTCGCTTCCTTCTTCCGCTTTTTCAAAATCTAAACAGTAAAATGCAGTTTCCACTTCTGTGCCCAATCAATAACAGATAATAACTAATTGGACTTCACAATACTTGGAAAGTAAAAGACCCCACGGGCCGGTTAGGCAAGCACTGCTTTACAGATCTGACCGTTCTCGCCATCAACGTTCTGTCGGCAACTTCTTCATGTTTCTCCGTTCGGAACTTGACGTAAGTCAGTGCATGTGATCAGGCATTTCCTTCCCATTCCACTGATAGCCCCTCGCTTCTCACATTGGATTTCTTTTATTTTACATTATGCTAACTGAACGAACTGCAAACCAACCACTATCTTTTCTCTTTCGGCATCCGCAAGTGCGTCGTGCATCACTTCAATATTCTTTCTTGGAACTGTTCCATTTTGCAAAAACATTAACCGATCTTCCAGCTAAAAACCAGCGAATAAAAGTGCAGGAAAAAATTTCAACACGAAGTTGCTGATTCAACCAAAAAAAAAGATTTGAACTTCCAGTAAATCCTTAAAAGGAAAAAACGACGAAAGAACTGGCAGTAGGAAGTTGGCCAAGGGGACAATGCAGCACTGGTCACTGTAACTGGAAAAGCTGTCAAATGCAACACAGCTGGCGAACGAAAATATGAAGATTTTTAGTAAAAATAAATAAAATTGGAAGTAAAAATGAAAAAGCTCACTTGCTGCTTAAGATGTTTACCAAATGCAGCCACCGGTACGTCCGCGAAGCAATCAACCCTCGATGCTACCGCGCACTTGTTTGCCAGAAAACGTGATATGCGACCCTTATCCTTGGCTGCTGCTCGTCCAATATATGACGAGTGAAACAGAAGGCCATATTTTGGAGTGTTAGCTGCAAAATAATTCACAAAAAAAGCATGAAAAAATATGAGCATCAATGAGAAGTGAAAAGTAATGTACACTGTCGCTCAAAATATAATTCTATCAAAAAATCCTCAAATTTCTAGAAGATAAAACCCCAGCCTGAAATGCACCAGGCCTACCGATGTGATCATGCGTTTTTGCATCAAACAAGAAATCAGGTCAAAAACTGTTCTATAGGCGCAGTTTGCGTAGGATACATTGGCACAAGTCATCGTAAATTTTGCATAAAGAAAAACGGTCGCTCACTGAAAATGATCTAGCTGTTCAGTAAGCTATTTTTCCGCCAGGCTAGGCTCTACAAAGTGTAAAAAAAATAATCATGAAAAGAACATACATCGAGTCTTTAAAGCACGAAAGAGAGCCTTCTCAGCGCCAAGAATCTGAACTGTTGATGCTGGACACTTGGCCAAATTCGATAGACTACCGGCATGCGAAATTAGACGAGCGCCAACCTATAAAAAAAAGGAATACTGAACATATTTGACGTTAACAAAAATGCTCTCAAAGATCGAGTAATGTTTTAATTTTCCTTTTTTGGGAGGGAGGAATGAAAACAATCTTTGCTTCGACAGCAAGGGTAATTTTTCAGCTCTTTTTCTCCACGCTCGCCCAAAAATGTTCGTTATTTGGGGAAGATGGGCCAACAGTCAAGCGCGGAAGCATTGGGGTTCATTGACCACATGGTTTTGCAGGGAATGACGGGCGGGCTATTAAAAAAATGGAAAACCACAAACAATCGAAGCAGAAATTCAATAAATACTACTGCTTCGGATCAAATCACTACATTACATATATAAATTACTTCAATATACTAAGAAAACCAAGGCAACTAGGCAATCACGTTAGTGCATAACTCCAGTTAGTACCCACCGCTCCCTCGTTTATGTGCGTCACCTCCTCGTGAGCCACCTAAACAGGGACGTTATTTTTATCGTGGGCACTCCCCATCCCTGATATCATTCTTTCTCCAGCGGTTGTCGGCAAGACGAGCAACATGTCCTGTCCATTCGATTTCATTTTCCCGTGTGGTCGCAGTGGATACCACAGAATTACGTCATTATCAAGCATCCTTCGCTCCATTTTACACACATATATATGATAATGGAGGGGAGAGGGGGGAGGGGGGAGGGGTACCGCACGCAATAAATAGATTAAAATTGCCCATCGGGCAATTTGCTCGGGAAATCTTGCTGTGTGTATGAGTGTACAGCAGTTACCTGCTCGCCTATCAGCTCCGACAGTGATGGAGCACAGGAATGCATACGTTCTTTGATATAGTTCTGGAGCTCAACACGATAAGCGAGCAGTGCATTGATGCGTCTTGTGAAATGGTTGATGTTATGCAAGTCGATTTCGGCAATATCCATGCCCATCGATTTTCGAGCGGCTTCCTCCACTTCCGCTACTTTTTCTTCGTCATCCAGAATCCCTGAACAAAGGCATGAAGGCAAAGAAGTGGAAATCGAGTGTGTTGATAAAACTTAGTATGTCCACAAATGCCCGCAGATGTGAAAAATCTATGGAAAAATAGGAAACGATTTCTAGGCTTCTTTATTGGCATACGACTGAGGATAATGCTCTTAATTTTCCAGTCCTAACGACTGCCTACGGAGCTGAGGTGGGGGGGATCTCTTTACAGACATTTACACACATCCACACTTTTTTTGTCCAATTCTTGGGTTTACTCTTTCTTTTTGTATATCTCCCTGAAGCTCTGCCCTGAACGGTCTCCTCTACTGGTACCATTTCACTAAGGGTAAAATAAAGGCAAAGCTTTATTGACTCTATTAGTTCCGGGAAAATAAGAATAGACCAAGCACGCAGCATACCTTTTAGACTTTCAATAACAGCCTCATCCAGATTACTTCGATTCATTATCAACGAGG